TATAAACGAAACAGGGAAAAGCATAAAGAGTCAACAACCTCTCTCAGAAACTCATCAGTAGGGAATACGACCCACCCCCTCCCCCTCCCAACAGCGAGCAAATACGACCTCCCCCTTTACAAAGCTCTGAAACAAGGAAAATCAACTACCAAAAAATTTTTCTCCGCCCGAATACGAACCCCCTCTCCCAGCGAGCAAATACGACCCACCGCCTGTTGAGAAATCCCCAACAATGACGTGCCCTGTTGTCTCTTCGTGTAATGCTTTGCATTGTATTCAGCTATTTGAATTTTTTGACTTCTAAGTATCTGGCACCCACCGTTGTCCCAGGACCGAACCAGGAAGCTTTTCGGCCACTATGCCTATCAGTTTTTCCTCTGAGGACGTGGAGGTGAGAAAAGTTGGCTTTCACACCAGGGAGCTCTTACTAAACGCAGCCATGAACGGTAAAAAAATTAAGAGGTCTCTAGCAATTTTCCAGGGCTTATATCTCCCCACTGTCATGGTATGCCCTTAGCGCACAGGGCATATATCACCCCATGAGCGGAGTATTGACCTGTAGTGACAAGTGGCGCGCTTACACTCACGCGCCCCCACCGAACCAACCACACGGGTTCGAATCCCGGGTCGACACCCGCCCAGGCCAACCAAGCCTTCTACCCTCCGGGGACGGTAAATTGGTACCAGATTCGTCTGGGAGGATAAAACACTGACTTGTACATCGGCTGGCCCCCGCAAGTCATTGTATAGGCCACATCGCATTCAATAAGCCACTACGATTCTGAATGGAAGTAGAATGCGTGCCGCATCCCACAAAGGGATTGATCAACGGCGAAGACTTTATCCTTTTTTTTTATATCCCCCGACTGTCATGGTGCCCTTAGCGCACACTACTCCACTGAATGAACTCAGTGACACGTGAGCATTTCACAAGCATTTCAAGGTAGGGTTGTTTGCTAGTTTGCCTGCGCTACGACCCTTTGAACTCTACATTCGAAATGAAGGGCAAGCTGTAATCGCGTGTAACAGGTGCCCATTGCATGTGCGACAACTGTTACGTGGGGAAAGATTTCGTCGTGAAATTCTATCTATCACGAACGTCTGAAAAATATCAGCACTTCATGGAAACTCTACGAATGACACATAAGTGACATACCAATCACTTCAGAAAGAGCCGTATACCACTGGTCTGTTTGAGCGAGTTCGTTCACCTGCAAATTAGGAAAAATTGTGTACTGTAACTTGTGCGTACTGTAGATTACAATACCAACCTTTTGAAGGATGTTCTTCCGCTCCTCAATGGTCACATACTTCTCAGCCAACCGAGCTGGCCAGATTATCATCTGAAAAACGATAGTGTGATTGTAATGGATCAAAGTCCTCGAATCAGAGTGCTCTTTTATTTGAGCACATTTTTTGCTGATCGAGGACGCCGGAGGCAGGGTACCTGCTCATGTCAAGAGCGCTCAACCCCCTCGCTCCTCCGTACGTTTTGGAAAGAGGGACTCATGAACGAGGAAAGCACAATGACTCTCTGTTTCCGTGTATCCAGTTGTCGTGCCCTCAGAGTAATTCATGGTTGTTTTGTAGGCGATTAGGAACTTGACTGAGTCTAGAATTACGTCGTAACTCGTAATTAGGCGAGTCGAGATCGCCCTTAGAATCGATCGTTGTTTTACTCTGTTACTTTGAAACCTTTACGCAATGTAGCCCACAACAAGCTGAAGTTGTTCCCCGCATTTTAAGGACATGGCGTCCTGTACCACTTCTCCGTTTTTCAATTCTTCAACTCAGCAAAGGGCAAGTACCCTTAACATCTACAGTACCTTCTTATAGTGTTCCCAGACGAAGACGATCACCGAGTTGCCGCAGTCACCAAGAGCCCATCGCCCTTCTAATGCACGGCAGAACGATTCAGCTCGTTCGGTGAGCTGACTGAAACGGACGAGATACGAAACTCTACGTCAAGGAAGCAGAATGACTTACGCTTCACTGGGTGAGTGCATTTGCATCTGAAGGTTTTTCACGATCGCCACTGATACCACGAAACCGTGAAAGCCCTCGGTCCCCGTACCTGAAACTCCTAGAATACAGTGGCGGTATGCAAAGGCCAAATGCAGCATTAAAAGGTGAGTACGTGAAGGAAGATCGCCGACTCATGCCTATTTTGCCTCTAGGCTTCATTGTCTATCTTTCTTGAGCTTCACTGTATACCTTTTAATGAATAGTTTTCAGCAGCTCAACCAGAAGGCGCACCGCCAGAGCACGTCCTATAGGCTGAGGAAAACTTCCGAAGATAAACAACCAAGCGGAATTTTCTCTCTCAGCTACTATCTTCCTCCCCCGTTACTCTTCTACTTCTATCTGCTAACTTTTCTTCCCTTTTCCAGCCTGCTTCTACCCATAATTTCCCGAAATTTTCCAGAAAATCGAGCGAGACAAGTGGAGATTGTCAGCAACCAATCTTAACTAACTTCAGATATCCCACAGCAATAGGTGTATAGGACATCCGACAGCTCCGCCAATAATGGGTGGGGCCCTCTCCCAGCAACACATCAAATGAATCCGCCTCCCTTTCACCATTTGCAGTCTCTCCCAACGACGTGGATAGCGCCCGTGAAGAGGATGTAAATCAATCTATCATAAAACAGTTTCTCCAGACCAAATACGACCGCCCTCTCTCCAGCGGCCTAATACGACCCCAATCCTCCTTCTCCCGCCGGACGTGCCCTGGCGCAGAACAATGACTTGATTGCTATCCAAACACAAGACAAATAAGAAATTACCCTGTATTGAAATGAAAACCCTCTTGAGCGGAGATCTAGAAGGCCCTTATTTATCGCAAAGAAACCATAGAATTTGAGCTAGCGTTGTAACTTTCAAGTAAGAAGTAGGAAAAACAAAATATGGCCCAGACCTAACCTGGCATTCCAGTGGTGCACTGAGACCTCCGCTGACAATGGCATGGCGTACCAACGGCGAGATCATGAAGCTGTCGATTCAATGCCAGAGCTAGAACAAAACGTGCTTAATGATTCCCGTCACTCTCGGCTTAAGGACCCGCCTTTCTGTTGGAAGTCAGCTGCACAACATCTATGCTATGTATTAAACTACATCTGTCTGCCGGTATTACTTTTCCGCAATCGTCAAACCTCTGAGCTCACCTAGATATTTGAGCGATTAGCAAGATGGGACTGGCTGTTATATAAGCTATTTTTTGATAGCGAAGTCAAGCAACGGTCACTGCCAATGATCCTCTCATTCAGTCACTGGGTTGTTTGCTGCGAGATGAAATGCATAGAAGAGCATCCTGGAAAAGCGATAGACCTGGTCACAAGGCGATAAGCTGCCCCTGGAGAAACCGTAGATTCTAGCGAAAATTAATTTTTCAAGCTTTTAGGGCAGAGAATCTGGTGTTCAATGACTCTGATGCCAACCGAGGAGGTACATCAGCGCGTCTTGGTTTCGGTAAAAAAAAACGGGTGATGATATCCCACTGCATGCTATCAAATAAACTCTCAGTGGCAAGATGCTAGCATGGAGTTCAAGTACCAACGATAATGCCCAGACGTGTGGGATTAAACGCGTGCAGCTACAGGTTTCGGCGCCCAGGCGCTGCGTGGCGCCTTCTCCAAGTGAGGCACTGCTATAGCGCCCTATTAATCCGCATCACCGACCCGGACGCCCACCGCGCCCATCCCGCCCACAGATGTCCGACTGATGCTGATGATCGTATCCCTTTGGGAACGCGCAATAAGAGCAAAAAGAATTGACAGCGAAGCGCTAGTACTGTTATATGTACGAATCCATATGGTACAGCTTAGTATATTGTAGGGGTTATTCGGAATGCGCCAAACAGGAAACTCGTCCGAAATTACTCTCGAGTCGAGGAAAGCAAAGGCTTTTTTGCAGGCTCTTGACCGCTTCACCTTGCTTTTTTGCCACTTTCCCACCGTACAGCACCCCTGCTACCATTATAGGCCGAGTGGCAAATTAGGCACTCCTTGCGTTCATTTGATGCGCAAACGCCTCCTCTGGATATGGTGATCTTGCACAAATACGTACGTTTACAAAAATAAGGAAAACGCGACACGCTCGTATCCACGGCTGTTTCTTTGTATGACGCCCGATGGATACGTAGCTAAAGGTACTACCTTGGGAGACGGCCAGGAGTCACCGCCGCGCTGGGAAGTGGGTCACCGCGCGCGGCGATTACATGCTTTAACATGTTTGCATGTTTGAACATGTCTACCTGTTTGGACATGTTCTTGGCAGATGGAAGATGAGGAAAAGAAGAACGCTCCAAGCAAACTGCGATAGGGTCATATCGATCGAAATTTGGCAGTGTGCCAGGTCAGGACTAACCGCCGCGCGCGGTGACCCACTTCCTAGTGCGGCGACCTGGTTTCGAGCGCGGCGGTGTTTCCTGGCCGTCCACCTCTGTCCAACACAGAACAAGATGACAGTTGTCCTACACTGAAGTACCTTACTAGTAACCCTTCCCAGGCCATGTTGAAATGCCACGCCTACCCCCTCTTGGGGATAAAGAGTGTAGTAGCCCGCAACGTTATCCCCTGTGATTTCCTACCATTGCTCTATATGTCTCCACCATTTTGAATGGGATAACCGAATATTTTTTGTCTCCAGCTTCTTGAACTTTACCCGTCAGAGGAAGGAGCAATGTTTAGAGCTGACGATGAAAGGTATTTGATGAGCAATCCATTTCAAAGCGGTCTCGGAAAAAGGCTTGTCTGAGTATTTGAAAGAGTGCCATAAGGCATGAGTCCCCTCTAATCCCTTTCTGTCAGTTTTTATTTTTTTTTCTCTTTCAGCTCTCTTCAAAAATGTCACCTTCTCTCCTAGCTTTGTAGCCTCAATCAAGAAAGTGTCTTAGAAATGAAAAACGAAATGAAAAGCTCCGTAAACAAAGAGAGCAAAAGAGGAATTAGTCTTGCGATATTTAAGAGTTTTGCCCTTTCAAGCGCTTTATGGGAAGACGCACATCATCGACTCAAGCATACTCAATAAGAACCAGAAAGAAAGCAAAACACTTTCAGAAGAAAACAAGCATGAAAGAGGGTCATCTGAGCTGGAGGAGGGGACAATTGAGCACCCTCATGTCTGAATTTGAGAGAGTACGATTTCTACGATAGTACGATAGGAAACAGTCTGAGACAAGAATTTGAATTTGTGGACGGGTCAAACGATTAATATCACGGTGTCTAGGGAGTTTAGAGAGAGCCGATGGATTCGCTGGTAGGCGTGGCCATCGTGGACTGCCAGACGACGACGTATACATTCTATATCCAGGATACCGAGTGGGCGTGACTGCGTGCTCCACTTGAATGTAACGGTATTCGCTTCAGGTGCGATATTGCCTTTTTAAGGCATTGAAAGGCGTTCATGTAATTGTAAGGCGCAAGAGAGGATGACAGCTATTTCAAATGGAAATAGCCCAAGAAAAACGCATCCTGCGTCATTTTCAAACGAAGCATGCAACCACGCCCTTCCTTTCTCTGGGATATAGTGTGCACAACTTACACATAAGACTTATAGGTGGAGCGAAAAATCATGGGTTCCCTGTACCCTCTGTGCTTACACCGGCATCAGTCAACGGATACGTATCCATTCCAGCGTTTTGCCCCTAATTCCGTGGACACGCCCTCTCTAACTATAAGAACGGCGATATGGACTGCATGTACACACATGAACCCT